CACTGTATAAAAAGACATAAAGCCATTTTTTTTTCTCACTATCTGATATTAAATCAGACTAAATATTTCCTGTTTTATGTAGGGTAGGATTACCAACATTATTGCTATTTGCTAAACACCAGAATCATGACAGAGAGACTGTTTTCTGAGGGGTTTTTTTGTATTATTTTCTTTAAAGTCAGAAGTTTACATACAGTTCCTTACTATTTGGTAACATTGCCTTTAAACTGTTTGACTTGGATCAAACATTTTGGGTTTCCTTCCACAAGCTTCTCACAATAGATTGATAGATTTGTGGCCCATTCCTCCTGACAAAACTGGTGTAACTGAGTCAGGTTTGTTGGCTGCCTTGCTCCACCTGCCTTGTCAGCTCTGCCCACAAATTTTCTACAGGATTGAGATCAGGGCTTTGAGATGGCCACTCCAAAACACTGACTTTGTTGTCCTGAAGCCTCTTTGTAACTATTCTGGCGGTATGCTTAGGGTCATTGCTCATTTGGAAGACCCATTTGTGCCCAAACTTCCTGGCTGATGTCTTGAGATGTTGCTTCAATATTTCCACATAATCTTCTTTCCTCATGATGCCATCTGTTTTATGACGTGGACCAGTCCCTCCTGCAGCAAAACACCCGAACAACATGATGCTGCCACCCCCGTACTTCACAGTTGGGATGGTGTTCTCAGGCTTGCGAGCTTCCCCCTTTTTCCTCCAAATGTCACAATGGTCAATAAAGCCAAACAATGTATTTTTAGTTTCATCAGACCACAGGACATGTCTCCAAAATCTGTGTGCCTGTGTGCATTTGCAAACTGTAGTCTGGCTGTTTTATGTTGCCTTTGGAGTAATTGCTTCTCCCTCTCTGAGTAGCCTTTTAGTCCATGTCGGTACAGGACTCGTTTCACGTACCCATTTTTCCACCAAAAAGAACCAGGTGCCAGTTCCGTGGCAGTGCTAGTGCCAGTGCTTATTTGGTTCCAATCTGGCACCTCCAAAGAACCGGTTGCTTTTCCACCAGCAAGGAGTCAAGTTAGAGCCACGCCATACGTCACTGCATACGTAGCCATTTACCGAACAACACTCGTGCCACACAGAAGTCCACACAGAACTCCAGACTTTTTTTTTTGTTTTTACCAGTGCGACCAAGTCTGTCATTTGGCTGTTTTCTTTAGATTTTCCCATGTTATCACAAAAGGAAGCAGTGTGTTTGGGGTGTGCATTAAAATACATCCAGGAGTGTGCCTCCAATTAACACAAATGTTTTCAATTAACCTATAAAAAGCTTCCAAAGCCATGACATCATCATCTGGGCTTTCCCAAATAGTTTGAAAATATAGTAATCTTGTAATTGTGTATGTAAACTTCTGACTTTGAAGAAAGTAATACATTCTCTAAAAAAAAAGGCTCCCTCTCATTTTTCTGGCATTTAGCAAACAAAAATAATTTTGGTCATCCTAACTGACCTAAAACAGGAAAATTTTAGTCTGACTTAATGTCATATTGTGAGAAAAAATGTTTTCATGTCTTTTTATACAGTGTATGTAAACTTTTGTATGTAAAGAGAGTTTAAATGGCAATGCAAGTTAATTTAACACAGTAAAGGATAAATGTGATATTTAACAATGCACAACCAGTTAATATAACAAATACACAACAAACACCCCACGTGAGTGATCACTCAGAGATGCTACACAGTGACGTGTATTATCTTTCTGTTTTTTTGGCCTCTCTTTGGCTAAATCATCATGCTACAGAATTCTAACTACTGACTAACCTGCAGAAAAAGGAAGGAAGGCCTCTCTCTTCCTAAATTGACCATCCTGGTCCAGAAAGTGCTGAGGGTTGAAGGAGTGTGGAGTTTCCCATATCGACTCATCATGAAGGACAGAGTCCAGTGTAGCCCATAAGACGGTGCCCTGAAGAAAAGACTCTGTTAAAATGGTTAAATAACCTTCTTTATGAAAAATGTTTTAAACATCATATTTAGGCATAGATAAACAACAACAGCAACAACAACAAGAAGAAAGCACTTCTGAAACATGTTGGTTTAAAAGTTAAGATTTAAAGTTCATTCTTGGCTCATGAAACAGGTCACAAAATCATCATGCTACTTGTAAATACATAGCAAATTAAATCATAGGAATGTAGGCCGACAATTATGTTAAAAGGGAAATTTCAAACGTGATAAATGTCAGTATGTCTCCAGTAAGTTTTGAAGTCACATTAATAATTGATGTTTTGCAAAACATTGTCCTTACTACACTCAATATGCATGAAAAAGTTGTTTTGACTGTATTGACTGTGATTTATGGATAGTTATGAACTCATCTCTACTCAATGATTCACTAATGTAGTATCTCCCAGCTGGTTCTGTCGTAACCTGTAATTTTTTCTTATACGCGATCCGGGATTAGAAGTTATTGTGTACCTTTGGGATTGTGTACTGATCCAGTGTGGTGTCCCTGTTTGCCATGCGGCCCACATTGAAGGGGATGATGTTGCCCATTCTCTGTGTTTCATGGACAACTGCATCAGTGTAGGGCATGTTTTCTCTGTCAGTCATGGAGGGTGGTCTGGATGANAAAATGTCTTTATGTTTTTTGTCACGAAACAAATGAAGCAGATTATCCAAATGAGTGACAACAAGAATACAGGACAATTTAAATAGGACCAGGGGCGTAGAATTGGGTAGGGATGCTAAAGACACGTCCCTACCAATATCCAGCCACTAATGTGTACTCACTGTCAATACAACCACTGTCCTTAGTGTTTAGTCAATGACTGTGGGACACAAAGGGTTAACAGTGGGTCTCTGCTAGAAGTCCTACCTCTAACCTAAATATCGCTCTTCGATTGGCTCTGCTGCTTTCTCGCTAACGTACTTGTGATAACGTACCTGGTGTCATTCCATTTCCTAACCTGTTGGCCAGGACAGAAGGCAGTGCATGTATCTGCAACCGCACATGTAATCATGGAGGGCAACCGTAACATTTATTTCCAGAAATCAACATGAATGTTATGATTATAATCACTGGTGTCATTTACATTTACAAGTGTGCATAAACATTTTTTTTCATGACTGCAGTTGATTACTTTATCAGTTTTTAATGGTTCATTATCAAAGTTCTACTGCTTATAATTACTTCCAAATGATGTTTTATTCACATTATAGGAAATGAAAGATAAAAAGCAGATATTCTTGATACATTTCAAGTTATATGTAGTGGAACACAGTGATTTATCTTGGTGTGGCACAGAGGCGATAAGGTTTGGGAGCGCGAGCGCCTCCCAGGTTGAACTCCAGACTGGGCTGCTCTCCAGCAGGTGCCGAGAATGAAAACCTCTGAAGGAGGGCGGTGAAAAAGAGGAATA